TTGGCTTCTACTTCTACCTCATCAAGCTTACCAGTTACTAAGTCTTACTGATTATATACTTTTAAATATACTACTTATTTGCCCACATTTCTCCACTGCCACTTTAGCCACCACCTTGGTTCTTTACTGTATCGGCCTTCTAACTCACATTTCTGTCTCTAGGGCTCTCTTGCCTCCCTTAAGCACACTAGGAACATAGCCAGGGTGACCTTTCAACAGTGTGAAATCTGAGTTGGTTATTTCCCTGAGAAAACACTTAGAACAAAATCCACACACCTAAGCATGGCATGTAAGAACTTTCATGATCTGGCCACTGCTTCTTAATCCATCCTCATCTTTCACCAAACAAAACAAAACTAACCACTATTGTAATCAAGTTGATTCTGATTCATAGCAACCCCCATGTGTTACAGAGTAGGACTGTTCCATAAGATATCCTTGGCTGTAATCTTTACAGAAATGGATCACCAGGTCTTTCTTTTGTGGCACTACTTGGGTTTGAACCACCAATCTTGAGAACGTAATGGCATGCAAATCATTTGTGCCACCCAGGGGCCACCTTCAAATTCCCCTTCCTGGGGTTCCCATAACTCCTGTAATAGCTCCTAATCATTATTTCAAATCTACACATCACCTTAGCTTGGACATTTCTCTGGCCTTTCATGGTTGGGTATCTCATAGCCATGAATGGTCCAATGCAGCTTTTACCTCACTGTATTATATCTGTCTATACTAGAAGTCAATAGGGAGTAGCATTAAGAGACTCTAAAGTCCAGTTTGGGTTCTATTGTCAGACCCGACACCAGCTCTGTACTTTATGTGAGCCTCAATTTGCTTCTCAGTAAATGGAGATAATACCTCATAAGTTTGTTTTAAGGACTAACATACCTAACACAGCCATGTAAATAACTTGCACAGTGGGCATCCGAAACTAACACAAGAAAGGGTTATGCAATATAGCACATGCATGATGTATGTAAAAATATGATAGTTGCTGCATGTAGAACCAAGTCCATATAATAAGGATTCAACAAATGTTAGCAATCTTTAAGTCGTCTAGGTTTACATTTAGACTGTAAGTTCTTTGAAGGCAGAAATTAATCCTTGAGCTCGCAGTTCACACCCAATAAATGTTTGAGTTAAGAGACCTGAGAACCAAAATGCTCTAGGCCTCAGATTCCTCATTTATTAAATGTGTATTGCCCTTCTCATTTTTAAAGTCTAGACTACTCTAACATTCAGGAGCTCTGGTAGCATAGTGGCTAAAAGCACTTGACTGCTAACCAGAAGCCTGGCGGTTCAAATCCACCAGCCACTCCTCAGAAGGAAGGTTGGGCAATCCTACTTCCGTAGTGATACTGCCTCGGAAACCCAAGGAGGGGTCGCTATGAGTCGGGGGCGACTCGACAGCATGTAACAACAACAACAACAAACTCTAACATTCATTCATTCAGCAGATATTTGTTGAAAACATATTATGTGCCCAACACTGGGCTAGGCAGTGGGGAAAGCATGGGTTCCAGGAGCGAAGGAGGCAGCATGAAGACAGCACCAGTTGGAGCCAGACAGGCCTGTGTTTGAATTCCTGCTGTCACTTAAATTGCAAAATTTGGACAAGTCACTTAACTTCTCCGGTCCTTCTTACAGGTAAAAAGGGGTTCAGGTATATTTATTGCCTCAGAAGGAAGATTGGGCAATCTACTTCCATAGAGATACTGCCTCAGAAACCCAAAGAGAGGTTGCATTGAGTCAGAAACCACTGGAGGGCAGTGCATTTTGTTTTTTTCTTTTTTCTTTGGTATACTTATCCCAGAGTCCCTGGGTGGTGCAAAAGATTAACATGCTCCTCTGCTAACTGAAAGGTTGGAGGTTTGAATCTACCCAGAGAAGCCTCAAAAAAAATCCTCCTAGTGTCTACTATATATATATATATATATATACACACACTCTGTATATATACTAGTGTATACTGCCTCAGAAACCCAAGGAGGGGTCGCTATGAGTCGGGTTTGACTCGACGGCACATAACAACAACAAGTGTCTACTTCTGAAAATCCATTAAAAACCCTATGAAGCATAGTTCTCTGGCATACATGGGGTTGCCTTAGTTGGAATTGACTCCACGGGCAACTGGTTTTGTACTCATCCCAAAGATCTATGATGAAATTAAAAAGATTGAACTATGTAGTGTACAGATCACAAGCCAAAAAATGTTGGTAGACTTCATTATCATCTCATGAACTGCCTTATCAGGAAGGAGAGACATGTACCTGAGTACCCTATGCTACAAGGGCGACTGGACTAAGTGTCTCTAGAGGCACACAATGGGAATGAGAACTGAAATCCCAGCTGAGGATCCGGAAGGATTGCCAGTGTAGGGTACAGAGGCACTGGTCCGTTGGAAATTCCAGGTCGGACGAATGAGGGAATTGTGAAGTGGTAAGATGCTAAAAGGTCAAGGCTGATGGATGTAGCTGGGCTGTACTTACCCAGCAAGATTACAGGTGCAGACGTTGGGCATCTTCCACCCCTGGCCCTCCCGCCTCCAGCGAGATCCCAGCTGTGGCAGGAGCCGGTAGCTGCTTGGCCACAGGAGGGCAGCAGCGATCCTTCCTGACCACACCGAAGCCTCTCAACTTTCCCGACGCCAGTCCAACCCTAGGGCCTGGAAGGGTTGGTTTAGGCTGAGTCCTCGGGGGGCCCGCTCCGCCCCTCCGCAGTCTAGGGATCGCCTCGCGACTCTCCTCCCACTTCCAGGCTTGCGAGAGCCAGGAACCAAGTCCGGCGCGACCCGAGGATGCCCTACGCAAGGGCCGTGGGCGGGCCGAGCAAGGG